TATATATATATATATATATATATATATATATATATATATAGTCATTACTTGATCCTGTTTTTTAGGATTTCGAATATTTCGAAGACGGTAAGGACCACGGCCATAACGTTCGGGCCAAGGCTCGTCTGCTTAGTGGTTTGCTCAGGGACGAGGAACGGCTGCATGAAGAACGTACTAAGGCCTTGCTTGCTCGTGATCGCCTGATGCATGGTGGACTCGGAACCACCACAACCCCGGCTACCGGGTCCCTTTTCGGTTCAACCCTGGGCACTCGAGGAGGCTCGTTTCCATCCTCCACGTATCCCAAGGCGGCCTATCTTGAGGAGCGATCACCCGTACCAATACATTCAAGTAAGCATCTCCTTTTTGACACCTTTCATTATCTTGGTAGTACACGTGTTTAGTACTTTTATTAGGTCGGTTGCTTTCGAACATTCCGTGGCGCCAGAGATTTTGAAACTTTCTTTGACGGAAGAATTCGTACCTAAATCATGCCTTCACTACTCGATGTCTATTCGAAATGCCTTTCCAATGAAACTTTTCTAGAGCGATCCAAGGGAGTAACTTCTCAAAGTTTCTTGGAATTGGGTGCAGCATTGTCATACTTTTTAGCTTTGAATATCGCTCACTGTCGCTCCTCTGAACTTTAATGACTAGGTATACATGTTCGACCATGAGCTATCGAAAATCGTTTATGGACCGGAACCTTAGGCCTCCTGTTCACAGACGAGTACCATGAACAGGACTGCAGTTCTATTCATTCAACCCACAACAACCGATTTTGTAGTTAGTCACAATTTTGTAAATTGGCAAGAACGTGTTTAATTGGACTCGAAATTGGACTCGAAAAATGTTTCTTGACCCCCGTAATTGGTATTACTTCTATAGGCTATTCAAAGCATCCCGCTAAGATTTCATCGTTGATTTGGAATCGGTATGTTTGCGGATGTTGGTCTATCACCAGAGTTTGTTGGATGATGTCCTGGGCCATTTGTGTCGTGTGAGTGATTCACATTACGTTGACCGAGACCGATGATAGCGTTTGCTGCAGACATCTATGTTTCAAGCTTCGTTTACCACGATTATTCAATGCACTTCATCAGCCCGCATTTATGCTTCAATGAAATGTGTGATCCGGTTCATAAGTCACGTGACCTTAACGCTATTGATTTCGTATAATTTCCAGTCAGACCGCATTCATCTGCTCAAATGACTAACAGATCACCCAATACTTCCTTCAAAGCCTGGTTTTATGCGTGTCTTGTTTTGCGATTGTGTGATGCATCCCCAATTGTTTAGTCTGGTAGTTGAAGTTTGATGGACGGTTGTTTGGCGTCTGTTATGTCCTGGGTCCTGTCGGACCTTAATTCTGGATTCCGTTCCGCCCGGTGATTGAGTTTGTTAGTACTGGAATGGATAGTCGTCCCGGATGAATTTTTGGTACATTGCCATCAGCTCAGTGTTTAGAGTGCGGATTTACTGACCGGAAGGTCTGTGGTTCGAACCCAACCTCTGCGTCTCAACTTCTGTCTAGGCTTGGGCAACCTCGTGTTCCCTTCGGTTGTCATGGCAGGCAGCTGAAAGATTCCTTCTATTTGTTATTATTTCAAGCAACTGTATCAACCACCGGCTGGAATGTCCCGACAATTCGAATGATTCACGCGTATTGTTACGATTGTTTCTTGGAGCTAATGTGCGATCGCTCATGTTGTTTCCCGGTGAAAAGAATTGGGATGCTAAATTCAGGACGTGATGCTCCATGGTGGGTCCTATCGCTCTCATTTGCGGTATGTTTTATCTACGCCTGAGGTATCTGTGCTTCCCAATGGTGTTACCCTGCGGAGCGGAGTACTCATACGAGTCACTTCACAGAAGTAAATCCAGAATGATCTTTATTCTGGAGCAACACTCACAAGTAGCTATTCTTCACGCGGCAAATGGATCTAAAAACTGCCTATTTATACCTTTGGCATCCAAATTTTGTAGAAAATGATATTGATGAGGACTCGAAGACTGCGCCTATCTAATGAGTTCCCAGAAGGTTAAAACCGGTCGTGAGCTGTTGGAGATTTTTCAACAACTTTATGACTAGCATGTCCTGCCTATAATCCGACTACTAGACCGCCGGATCTCCCTTTTTCCTCAAGGTTGTGATTGCTTCCACCCTGAAATCACCGTCGAGGTTTTCTGTTTAATCCCCACCTCACCCTTTATGACTAGCATGTCCTGCCTATAATCCGACTACTAGACCGCCGGATCTCCCTTTTTCCTCAAGGTTGTGATTGCTTCCACCCTGAAATCACCGTCGAGGTTTTCTGTTTAATCCCCACCTCACCAACAGCCGAACATAAGGTATAGGGATCAAGGCATCTCGAATTACTGCATTCGAATGTCGCAGACCCATGATGGATAAATGTAACGGCTCCCCAAACCTACCAAAATTTAGTCTGATGAACCCGTCAATGATGAACTAGTAGGTTGCACTTTCAAGGCGTTTGGATGGTATTTTGAGTCCACCGCTGATTCTGGTTTAATGAGTAGCCGCTCTTATTCGATGCGGTGTAGGTTTTCGGAATGGCGTCATTTTTATACGATGAGGCCGGCATTTCGAAATGACGATCAGCTTGATTGCATGAAACTGAAAACTTGGCCACGTCCATTTTCACAATAACTTAAAGCAACGGTTACTATTCGGTCAGTTTGTTTGTGGGAATCCGTTTCTGCGTTGCCTCAGTTGCTTTCTGTATTACGAATTGGACACTTTTCCTCTTCTTTTCGTGTACATCTGACTATTAATTTAGTATGGTTATACTTGTAGGTGTTTTTTTGTTACGTCCAAAGCACATTCTTATCCCCATCCCATTTAGAACCCCTGTATGCATCCAGTACAAATGAATTAGACTCTGTGATGCCCCAGTCAATTGGTGAGGAGCAGCTGCAACTTCAGCTGGCTATTGCTATCAGCAAGGAGGAACACGAACGTGAGGAACGACGCCGTCGCACTGAGGAAGCGAAGGAAGAAGCCAAGGTGCAAATGGTCCTGGAGCAAAGTAGGCGAGAAGAGCAGGTAGGTTCAGGACGTTGCACCCGCTGCATTCACAGTCCTCTCTTTAGGTGTTGCTAGATGGTTTTGCATTTGCGTTGCGATTCATGTGGTTTCAACTTACAGCTTGTGCGCACCAGCCACTTACGAATCCTTTTTTATTTCTTTACGCCTTTAAAGGCCGATTTAGAGTTACAAACGCTGAATTCCATTCACATTAGGTTGATTGGCGATTTCAACAGCTTTGGTCATCGGTCGCTGCGACAACACTCATAGCACCCGTCTGAGCACTTCAGCACTTTCTATTCCTATTTTGTGTCCCTTTTCTGGTACATATTCTGCTATCTTTGAGTGGCGCTCGATTCTAATTTTTTTTCTCGGTAGTCCGTTTTTCGTCTCCCGTGCTCACCGATTCTTTGTGAACTGCGAACCGCGCGGAACAACCTCGTCTGGATTTAGCCTCTGCCTGAAACTTTATGCTAAAACTTGACAAATGTTTTATTTCAACCAGGTTGAGGTGAGAAAGTACGATCTGGCCCACTTATTTGGGAAAAAAAGTACTGGAATTCGACAACACTAGGCTTTTAACTGACCATAAACCATCGCCTCTAGCCAGTGGTTTGTTTTCTGCAACTCCTTGCAACTTTTCTGAGTATCAGGTAATCCGTGACACTGGTCGGCCAATACACGCATGGTGTCCGATGTAGAGTGTGGTGATTCGTTGAACTGAGACGGATTTATTGATTCTGGACTGAGCGAATTTGTCACAACTGCGTTGATAGAATCTCGTCCCACACGTCTGTGGTTGAAGGTTGCGGCAACTGTCCAACAAAAGTGGTTGGCTGTCCTCCGATATATAGGTGTACCTGTCTGGAGGTGAGTAACGTAGATATGCACTTTGGCCCGTTTGAAAAAACTTCCATCGCACCTAATTAGTTTTGTCTCTGTGTTTGAGTTACACAATACCGGTGAAAAAAATCAGAGCTCCACTCTACAATTAAGAATTGCGTCAATCCAGCATGACTCACTTGAGGAATACTCAGTGGGAAACTTGCAAATTTGGTTGTTGGGGGTATATTTATTTGTACACCATCAAAATCGATAGCATAAAATCAGTGTCCAACACATGCTGCTGGAGGTCAAAATAAACGTTTCCCCTTGCTTGTTAGAGCCTACGTAAGATCCTCACTTCTGAAAAACTACGCCCTCTCCCCTAAATTTTCTCGTGTCCATATTCCGTTGTGATACTATCATGTTCGTAGAATTCGACGAGATAAGCACGTCGGGTATCATCGGCTAATAAATGCTGAAAGGCACGTTAATCAGCTGATTGGTGAATCGATGAACAAACGATTGTGAGAGGCACTTACTTAATCAGGCCATTCCGTGTAATAGCGTGAGTCAGTTAGGAATTTTGCGGCAAACGCGAATGTACTTTTTCCCGGGCTCTCACACCCTTTCAGTGCCTAGCCGATTGTGAGGGCACTTACTTAATCAGGCCATTCCGTGTAATAGCGTGAGTCAGTTAGCAATTTTGCGGCAAACGCGAATGTACTTTTTCCCGGGCTCTCACACCCTTTCAGTGCCTAGCTGCCATGCCACCCGAAGGAAGGAGAAGTTGAGATGCAGAGGTCGGGTTTGAACCACGGACCCTTCGGTTATTGCACTCTAACCACTAAGCCATCTCGCCTCCACGGCGATTGATGAGACTCAGTTCGTTCAGTCCAGTTATTACCAAAGTACGATGGTTCTAGCTACTGCAGTTTAATTCATCGAGATTAAGGATGCCAAGGGAGTGATATCCAAGTGTTAGAGGAGAGTTCACAATAAGCTTACTGGGGTCGGACTGTGATTTTTGTCCGATGTGTGAAAGCTGTGCATTCAGAGTACAAGCTTTGATGCAGAATCGCAATTGGCTGTGACATAGCCATATCTTTCAGGTTCATGAACTATTGGTGTCTCTCTTCAGGGGGGGGGGAGTCCTTATCCGTGAAGACGCTATTTATTAACGCGACTGAGTTGACTGGTAAGGGCCTTCATGCTTTGCTGTTAGATCACAGACTGACCGCCTCTGGGCTGTCTCCATCTGCTACATGGCTGGGCGGAGAGATGTCTGAGTGGCATACAGAATACGTGGTCCAATCGGCATAGCCTGTGGAGTGTAACCAGTTGATCTATCGAGCTAGAGTTACTTGTTACCCTGGGAAACATCTGGCGTGTCTCATTAGTAGTCGGATTTTTCACGAAACCCGTGCGACACTTCGGAGTTAGTGATGATCAGCTACAGAGTGGTGATCTCCTTCAGCGACCATATCTATAATCCATAAATTAGGGTCAATTCAAAGCAGTGTACAATCTGCTCTTGGCAGCCAGACTGATATCACCACATATGTCGAAGACTGGCAAACGCTGTCCTGACCTTCCCAGTTAGGTGACTGAAATCCAGACTGGCGACTGATATCACCCATATGTCGAAGACTGGCAAACGCTGTCCTGACCTTCCCAGTTAGGTGACTGAAATCCAGACTGGCACTCTACTTCTCACCGGGCGCTTTAGCCAAATGAGAAATGGTAATAGATAGAACCGCCTTCTACAAAGTCATCAGCTTCTACTGATCACATCTATTCTCTTTCATCACCTTCAGTTTCCAATAGGTTTGTCCCTTTATCTTATTCTGCATGATTTTGGCTGAGGATTCTGGGTCCAGATAGTTTTGAAACGCTGTCGTTGGCGGAGCTGTTGGTACATATTTCCCTAGGAATTTTGCTTTCATTGCTCTACCGCAACACTGACTTGTGCCCAGTGATTGTGAGATTATACAGCCTAAGTCACTGTAGTCGTTTACGTATGTTTATTCTGTTGATCGGTATTCTTTTTATCCTTGAATGATCAATGAAGTACCATATAATTGTCCCGATGACTTGCGCAATGTGTCAAACAATATCCCCCTTATAGTTTCTTTTGAAACCCAACGAGCATCCGAGTATTGCTTGGGCGAGGTACATCTGTCAGCATACTGCATAAGCCTAATCCTAACTACTAGTGTTGTTGTCGTCAAATGATTCTGTCTTAAAAACTCGACCGTTATACGTGGGCATTATCCTTGTCGATTGTCTTTGTCCCATCAGGAAAGACAAGCATGGGTTAGTCCGACATGATCACTCACAATATGGTGCCGCATTTGCTACCGTGTTTGTTGCTCCTGACGCTAACACGAAAGCTTGGGTGCCGATTTTCTGCTCAGTAGAGGTGCTTTTGTAGATTTTGTTGTTCCTCGATGTCCTTTAGTCACGAGCTCGAAACTGGTGAACAGAACATCATATCAATTCAGCCGAATTTAATGCTTTTGAGTTAAGCATATCACTTAAGGTCATTGTCAGTCGCTATGATCTGGATTCCGTTAAGAAAACTTGGTGTATTCATGCTGTGTAAACGGAATTCCCATTGTGGATATATGGTTCCATAGATCCCTGACTATTGACTCTAGTGCACTTCCGGTGAAATGAAACCCAACTTTTTGTCTTTGGTGTATTTTCGATGTATAGCAAAGCTTTCAGACTACCGTGGAGCGCCATCACGAGGTTCTTCGCGTCAGTTTTGCACCAATTTCGTTTCTCCACTGATTGTTGGGCATTAAATTCTCTTTAGATACAACAGCCTTGTCGTTATAGAGGATTTATCCTACACATACAAGTTCCCCGTAAAAACTTCATTTAGAGTACGGTTGAAGTGCTACACTTTAATTCGCCAAGAAGTAGGGGTTTCTGCAATGGGAGTGTTCAGGCAGTAAGGTGTTACCTTCATGCAACCAGCAGCGATGCTGCCTTCCGCCGAGGAGTGACGGATTAGAAAACATCTGCCGCAAAGCCTGCACACTCCGATCGTTCAAAAGTTGACCGTGACCGCCGGGTAACTATCCCATACAGTCGGTCAACCAGTAGATCGAGAAGGTGTAGTAACAGTGTTTTTCTCAGCCGTAGCAGCACGTGAGTGCGAGCGGTAAAGCGTGATCCGTGCGGAATTCCGCCTAACAGAAGGCTTTTGCCGCAGCCAACAGCTGCGCTTCGTTTCAGCTGATTCGATCAACCGGCCAGAGGAAGACAGGCATCAGGGAAACCTTTCGCAAAACTGTTATCTTGGGAACAGTTCCACTGGTCTCCAACACAACCTATGGCGAAATCCAACGAGTTTCAATGGGACACAAAGACCAACCCGCCATCATCAACATAAATTCATTGTGAGGTTTCATTCTTCCAACGCGATAGGACATCCTGTTTGGATCGTCTGCACCCCTACCCCTATCTGGATTTCTCCCTGCCGAGGGTGCGTCGGCCGTATGTTCACCTTGAGACAAGTTGTTGAACAGCCCACGTTGACTGTGTTTCTGGATGTGAAAGCTGCTTTTGACTCTGTCGATCTTCAGCCTCTTTGGCGGTATCTGGCAGTCGAAGCTGTCCCGCTTTTGACTCTGTCGATCTTCAGCCTGTTTGGCGGTATCTGGCAGTCGAAGCTGTCCCCTCCAAGTTTATATCCTCTGTGTGGTCACTGTATGTGAACTCCTGTGGAGGAGTATGAGTACACAGCAATCTATCCCCTTAGGCCACCATATCCAGTGGTGCAAGGTAAAGCTGGCCACAGCGCACGTTGTGGCTTTCGGTCTACGCTTGCGAGGTGTAAAGTGATGGTGCAAGATGGAGTATGGTCAAAACTAAACCTAATGCTTGCAGGCCAGCTAATCAAATTGGTAGATAAATTTGGTTACCTTGGTAGTTTGGTTCATTCCAGCAGACATGTTCCAAACTCTGAAACCTGTGGTGCCGGTGTGACATCATTTTGTTTGCCACTGCCGCTCTTTGGTTAAGAAAGATGGGCCCAACGCTCAAAGGATGTAATGTACGAAATGACTATATGTGTCTGTAAAGCATTTCCCGAGTGTGCTGTCAGCAATGCTGAGGCACGCCAGATGTTGGGAAGGAGGAACGGAACCCCGACAGTTTAGCTACCAAAGCTCCATAGGTTACGC